AGGGACAAGGACTAGAAGGCAGAAGGGGACAGGAAAGCTGGTGATAGGGAACCCAAGGTTGAGTAAGGACAGTGTTGACATGTAGTGGGGTTCTTAACCATTGTCATAGAGCGACATGTGTACGAACTGTTGAATGAGAAACTATTTTGTTCTGTAAACCTTCATCTAAAGTGAGAACAGCAGCACAACTGGAAGAACATCATCGACGTCACTGAATTGTACATGTAGAAATTCTTGAAATGGTGTATCTTTGGCTATGAATATTTTCAGCAAAAAAAAAAAAAGGTCCTCCAAGGCTGAGAAGGGAGCGTGTTGACATGTCGTGGGGTTGTTAACCAATGTCATAAAACAATATGTGTACTAACTGTTTAATGAGAAAATATTTTTTCTGTAAACCTTCACCTAAAGTACAATAAAAAAAAAATTATGCTCTGAACTTGTCTTTTATTGATGGTTGATTATTAGACCGAATATCTTCTCAGCTAAATATCTGGAGCAGAAAGGGATGGAATGGAAAAAAGAAAGAAAATCAATAAAGAGAAGCAAGAGCTAAAGATAAACCTATCTACAACACTTTTTTACACAGGGTTGTACATAAAGTGGAGCCCTGTTGGCTCAGTGGTTAAGAGCTCAGCTGCTAAACAAAAGATTAGCAGTCTGAATCCATCCGCTGCTCCTTGGAAACCCTATGGGGCGGTTCTACTCTGTCCTATAGGGTCGCTATGAGTAGAATCAACCTGACGGCATTGGGTTTGGTTTAGGTAGTACATAAGGTACTACTTGCTATTAAACCAAAGGATGCAGGCTAGGTCTTTATTTCTGCTAGTTAGAGTTTCCCAAAGAACAATTGTGTAACATAACCACCAATGACACCTCTGCCAGTAGTGATCATCTTACAAATGCTTACTTTTGGACTTAGAGAATGAGTAAAGCACTGTGCAGATTGTTAAAGTGCTCGGCTTCTAACCGAACTATTGGTGGTTTGAGCCGACCCAGAAGCACCTTGGAAGAAAAGCCTAGCAATCTACTTCCAAAAAATCAGCCATCTAAAACCCTGTGGAGCACAGTTCTACTCTGACACATATGGCGTCTCCATGAGTAACAATTAACTCAACAGCAACTATTTTGGTTTGGGTTTTTAAGGTACATTGCAGAAAACAGGTGTAAAAGAAATGTTTATCTAATTGAATTACATTGTATCATAACACTTCAAAAGGTGTTTATTACTAACCAGGTTAACAGCTTCAGCTTTTTATTATATTCAGAAGTCAGCATTTTAGATCAACATACCTGAACTTGATAACCTGAGACTTGACAAATTCTTCCCTTAATGAAGATTTACGAAATGTGTTTTCCACCTGTTCAAAAATATTCAAAATATGTCAGTGAGAATCACTTTCTGAAATCCTGTGAGTTAATTCAAAACTCTGAAAAAAAAATTGACCAACATTTCACAATGTGCTGAACCTGAGGAATCTTTCTTGGTATTCTAACAGTGATTTCAACTGAACTCTGCTTTAGCGACTGCAGGAGCTGGCGACTTCAACTGCACATAGACAGAGATGCTTAAATAATTCCACCAAGTGATAGTTGGGCCAGATATAAATACAAATTAAACAGATTATAATATATAATGTATTGTATTTGTATATATAAATATATATTAGCAAGTGACAGTGTCACATGACTCCCACACCTGGTGAAAAATTTGTCAATTATCTAGCATAATCTGCACCCAAAATGAGCTCAGTACTCAAAAATGCACTTAGAAAGGCCGATCTGAGCTGCGATACTTGGCCTAACACATCCTATAAGGTTTACTCTAATAAGGTGCAAGAATGTATTGGTTAAGATATTTCTTACCACTGTAAATAAGAATTCAAAGGGGACCTGACTACTACCAAGAAGAAAAGATAGGAGCAGACCGTGTCCTTTGGACCTGGGTTCCCTGCTTTGAGACCCTCCTAGACCCAGGAGACGGAGAGAGAGAGAAAGCTGTAACATCGAAGATGGCAAGATGGCAAGAAGCAGTGGCAGAGAACTGGCAGCAACAGAGGCAGAAGAACTGGGAGATCAGCAGGAGACCAGCAGGAGATGGCAAGGTGGGCTTCCTGGCTCACAGAGCGAGAAAACTGAGTGCCTTTGCGCAGAAGGCTTGCTGGCAGAGTAGGGTGCCTCTGGGAAGTTGTCAGCAGAGCTAAAAGAGCTCTGCAACACTTGCTGGAGTGGGGCAGATGCCAAGGGCCAGAGAGAGATGTGCTTGCAGACACGACGGAGAAGAGGCTCTCCTGATTGAAGAACTGTATGCTGAGCATTTCTGAACCTGTTACTTCCCTAATAAACCCCATTACTGTGAGAGAAAAAAAAAAAAAAGAATTCTAGCCAACTTAATTTTTTTTTATTAGAAGTCAAAGTAAGGAAACACTTCAAGCATTTCTTGTTTTCAGTGTGTTGATATTTACCAAACACAGTTACTACCAACTGGTGATTGACTAACAGAAACAATGAGCCTTTTTATTCTTTATTACATTTCATAGGATCCCAATGCCTTTAAAAGCAAGGGCAGTTCCTACAATTATGAGACAAATCAGCACAATTCAAAAAAGTTATGTAAACAAAGTTTTTCATAATAGATAACAGTACTAACTTAAAAAATTTTTTTTATTGTGCTTTAGGTGAAGGTTTACAGAACAAATAGTTTCTCATTAAACAGTCAGTACACGTATTGTTTTATGACATTGGGTAACAACCCCACAACATGTCAACACTCTCCCTTCTCGACCTTGGGTTTTTTTTTTTTTTTTTTGGTGAAAATATACATAGCCAAAGGTATACCATTTCAGAAATTTCTACATGTATGATTCAGTAACTTGAAAATTTTTACTTGAGGGTTTATTTTCATCAGATAGTTTCAATAGATATTAAGGAGTCCTGCCTATATTCCATTAGGTTTAAATCAGTAAATATAAAATTTATTTTGTTGAATGGCACAAAGAACAAGGGAAATTGAATCTTTTCTTTCCTTTTTAGTTCCACTTCCTTTCCTTTATTCTTTCTATATTTACATATATATTATATATAGGCCTTCCAGTGGCACAGTGGTTAAAGCACTTGGCTACTAACTGAAAGGTCGGCAGTCGGAACCCACTAGCCACTCTGCAGGAGAAAGATGTGACTGCCTGCTTCTGTAAAGATTTACAGCCTTGGAAACCTTATGGGGCAGTTCTACTCTGTCCTATAGGGTGGCTATAAGTCAGAATCGAGTTGACGGCCATGAGTTTTTTGTTTTCGTTTTTGGTATATATACATACCCTTAGTGAAGAGTTTCTTTCAATATTTTCCTGGTTTGTGTTTGCAGATACAAGCACAGCCAGGATATGACCTCCTTCCCAGTAAGGTGGACAAATACTCAGGCTTCTAGCCTATTAAGTTGTTCCCAGAGGGTTGCTGCCATTCTATTCTTATTCAAGATACTGGCACTGGAAGGAAATTAGGAAATTATCGAATCTGATGCCATAATTTTCATATGAAATAATGTCTCCAGAATAATTAAATGATTTTGCAAATGACACATCGTTAGCTGGTAGAGGGTGCCAGAACTAGGTGTCCTGAATCTTAGTCCAGTGTTCTTTCAGTCATATCATGCAACCAGTACTCTCACAAACTATCAAGAAAAGTCCAAACTATTCTTTAAGTAATCTGATAATGATCAAAGTTAATCACTCAAGCCCTTGTTTTTTTGGTCTATATTGCTAATTTTTCCAGTTTCTTAAACATTTGATTCATCCCCCTGGATGAATATTTCCACTATAAAGATAAAAATGAGTATCTGTAGCTTTCCTATGGGCTTATTGTGGTGGGGCAGACAGAGAGCAGCCTGCCGCCTTTCCCTGTGACCCACAAAGGAACCTTGTGCTTAGGACCAGCTGGACCAACGTGACTTCTTGGATGGGATTATAGTGTGTACTGTCTCCCTTTCCCAGGGCGTCTTGACCCAAAACACATCTCCTATCAGCTGGTAAACTATTAGCACAACCCTCCCCTCTTGCCCTGAGCACATGTTACGTGCATTATATGGCCCCTGACCAACTCCACTTCTGTATCTGACCTATTGGGGAGGAAACAACAACTGTGGCACAGAGAGGTGCATTCAGACCATTAGCCCTGCACCAGCTGTGGAAAGTGATCTGCTGGCCATGGGAGACCAGCACCACAAGTGAAGTTGACCTTGCTGTGTCTCTTTATGTGAATAAAGCACTGTTCTGTTCATTGCCTGTGTGTGTAGGTCATGCTTTTTGTGGGTGACCTTGGACCTTAGCTCAACACTTATTTACCGAAAACTGGTCCAGATTTGGTCGCTTGGTAGCACAAACAGTTTGTGCTCAGCTATTACTACTAATCAAAAGATGGCAGTTTGAAACCACTCAGTGGTGCCACAGAACAAAGGCCTGGTGATCTGCTTCCATAAAGATTACAGCCACTAACATCCTATGGAGCTCGTTCTACTCTGTAACACATGGGGTTGCCATGAGTCAGAATCGACTCATCAGCAATGGAGTTTGTTGGCATTGAGGTTTTTTTTGTTTGTTTTTTGGTTCAGGGTTAGATATGGCTAAGTAGTAAAATATTATTCAGGTATGTGTTTGAATAGTTTAATCTTGAGATCTCTTGCTCAAGTTCTCTTCTTTCGTACACAACAACCGTATTTTGGGCCACCCTCACATTTCCAGAATTTTTGGAGTCTGCTGATCAAGAGTGTAGCACTAGCTAAGGAAGGGTGAGTAGGGGGACATAAAGGAATGGCTAAAGGTCATTTGGTTCAACCTTGCAAGGCACGCTCTTCCAGGTGATGTATTATCAGTTTTGTTTTCTCTCTCTCAAGTAGGGCTTTTTTGAAAGATATGCCAGGATCATTTGAATTCAGGGCCAGATTAAGGCATGTGAGGGCCCTAAACACTAATAATCTGTGGTGCCCCCTCCTCTGCTTAATCACTCATTCAGATAGGATATGTGAGTTATATATGTATATATATACATGTAACATATACATGTATATATGTTTGTGTGTGTGTTAGCTATCTGTGATGTAGCTTCTTTTTAAATGCAACTATTATATTAACAATTGAACGTGAAAGTGGCGTATGCCCTTTTAGGGGAATGAAATTGTGATGGTTAATATTGTGTGCCAACTTGGCTGGGCCATGATTCTCAGTGTTTATATGTGATCACTTCCATGATTGAATATGCTGTGAGTAGCCAATCAGTGGAAAGAGAGTTTCCTTGGGGGAGTGGCCTGCATCTGAATATAAGCAGACGTTCTGGCTTTTTGCTCACTCGGGATCTTTTGGCTGGCTCCTGTTCATCTGGCCTCCTGTTCTTGGGACTTGAGCTATCAGCTTATCTGCTGATCCTGGGATTTGTTGATCTTCACAGCCTGTGAGTGGAGTCCTGCTTTCCAACCTGCTGATCTTGAGTTCGCCAGCCCCTGCTGCTATGTGATTTGGGAAAAGCCTCTATCCTAATCCACAGACTTGGGACGTTCCAGCCTTTGCAATTGTGTGAGCTTATTTCTTTGATATAAATCTCTCTATATATATCATACACTTTACTGGTTTTGCTTCTCTAGAGAACCCAGCCTAAGATAGAAATGAACTGGATTATAAAAATTTTAGTGGGTGAATGTTGCAAGAGTTAAACTTGACAGGCCACCCCTACCTCTTGTTTATTGGGAAAAAAATAGCATACTCCCAAGACATCTGCTGAGATAAGGAGTTTCAATTACACAGGAGGGGACCATAGGAGACAGATGCCAGTGAAGATGTTGAAGTGGTAGGGGCCTCATAGCTTAAACAACCTTGCACATGGGTACCCTCATGACTGTGTGTGATCTTTATTTCCAGCTGGCACATTCTCACACACTGGAGCTAGTATTAATTTCATTTAGTGCCCTGCCGGTTCCCTTCCACTGTGGCATTCACTTTTCCTTGTGTCCTGTCTGCTTGGCATCTGTGGATCTCTTTATGCTTTGGACAGCTGGTGTCCCTGTTTTCTTGATGCTCTAAACATGTGCTTACCTTGCTTATTGGGTAATGCATCCTGGTTGAATGTATTCTTTAGAAGCTGGGATACTAAAAATTATGATATCTAAGTGACAGCAAATGGCCTAGAAAGGGAGAGAAAAGTGCTTACCATTGACTCAATTTTCTGGCTCATTTCTGTGAAATTTTTAGAAGCTTCACTTCCAAACTCATCATATAATCTGTCACTTGTGAATGACAGTGTGCAATAGTAATTGTGGGTATTCCTTTGATCTACAAGAAAAGAGGCAAAAAAAATCATATTTTAAACAGACATCTATAAAACATCATCATTTCCCCATTTGGTGGTTACTAGAAAGACTGAGACAGGGAAGAATAGCCCTACCCTAGCCCATCATCCTGCCCCTGGGCTTCATAACTATATCTGAGTAAAAGATAACGACATTCATCATCATAAGATTTAGAGTGCAAAAGCTGTAAGAAACGCCTGGTGTTCCTAGGGTATTGTACAAACACTTTATTGTGGCTGTGGGCTAATTACTCATGTGTTATCCATTCCTGAATAAGCCACAAGAGGCAGCAAGTTATGCAATATAAACACACAAATAGAGATGGATTCAGGAGCTTCCCCAGGGTGACTGCATTTTTATATTCCTCAGATAGATTTTCCCATATTCAGTAAACTACACATACATTTTGGCCACAAAAACTCTGGTGAGAAAAAATTTATTTTAGCTAAAGAGGGAGATGAGAGTAGGGAAAAATGCTAACACCAAAAAACCCAGTCAGTAAACAGGAAGTTTGGGGAGCTAGAGCTGCCATCTGGCCCAACCCTTCAGGGACACTACTTAGCTTAGTGTCCCTTGGTTTCCTTGTTGCTCCATTTATTTTCTCCTTGGCTGTTTACTGTTGGCTTGTTGGGTTCTTTGCTTCCTGAACCACGATCTCTACTTGCTGCATCCAGCTTATGCAGCCCATACCTTTGGCTGCTAAAGAGTTGAACACGGCATAGCTTTTCTTCTATCCTCCTGTACATGAAGCTAGCACAGAGTCCTCGGAAGAGATACTCTGCTAGGCATTAATGATATAATGGTGACCAAGAAAATCATTTATAGTTGGTTGTGTAGTGGTTAAAGGCTTGGCTGGTAACCAAAATGTCGGCAGTTCAAATCCACCAGCTGCTTCTTGGAAACCCTATGGGGCAGTTCTACTCTGTCCTATAGGGTTGCTCTGAGTTGAAACCTAACAACAACATTATTAAGAAAATGGAATGTGTTCCATGCCATCACAATCTCTCTTCTGTTTTCTTCTCTTCTCATTCTTTCCTTCTTTAATTAAACCCCAGAGAAAAGGAAACTAACATTGAGCAGTATGTGCCAGGCATATTCAAATATCCCACTAAGTTTTCAATAACCTTTGTAGTAAGGCAACATTACCTATGTTTAACAGAACATGAAATGACAGACTTGGAAATGTAAGTAAATTGCTCAAACTGATATAGCCAGAAAAGACAGAGCCGGGGTTCCAGCCAATGCCTAGCTCCCAAAGTACAGATTTTACTTTGCGTACTGCTTATTGAGGTGGGCAAGAAAACAAAGCCATGCATTGAAGCTATAGGAAAGATCATTTGTTCTAAAAGAGTTATACAAAAAAAAAAAGTCCTGCAGGTACATTTCAAAAGAACACCCTGACCTTCTAGAGAATTTGGTGGGAGAGAGAGAGGGAAGCTTCTGGTCAGACTCTGGCAATGCCCCTGGAGAGGTTGGTAAGGCATAAAGTAGCTGAACTTCAGGCTGGAGACCTGAGTTTCCTGAATATTAGTGACCTAAGTGAGGTACTAAAGGGGTTTTGCCCTTCCTCCCTCCTTCCACCTCCCTTTCACTGCTAACACTGCCTTGCCCTGAATGGCCAGAGTGAAGTAAAATGCTGGAAGCTCCCTAGTAATATTCACGATTTTAAGTAAGGTTTTTAATTTACTGAAATATTAAAAGTAGCTCATAACTGTCTTTGTATACTACTGTTCAATACTTTTGCATTTTTAAAAACCTATCTCATTGTTCACTATAACTTTCAAAGCAAAGATTCCTATAGCTTAGGCTAGCTCTAACCTCAGGATACTAGTCTCAGAATACTATTCTAATTATGCTTTATGGGCTTTCAACTCAAGAAGTCTTACAAACTGATCAAATAATTCACATCCAAATACAAGTTGTGAAATCAAGTCATATCTTAATTTTCCCTGCTTAGCCAAACTTAAAATTTAGGTCGACAGATTGGTTTGAATTTGGTCATGTCTATATCCAACAAGCTTTCAAAATTAATTCAGAATTGTCTACAAAAAAAATTACATAATCTAAATATTAATGAAGCTTTTTCTCTGTACTGTGCATTTTTGAATTTTTGCTTTCCTCAACAGAGAAGAACAGTGTCACAGAACATGCTCCTATTCATTTCCTTTCTTTGTGCTCTCTAGCGTTTGTGTGTTTTCATAGAAAAAACTACTTAAATTTAAACAGTCATTCCCTAAAAAGAATTATTAAAAAGAAACTTTGGCGTATAACTCCAACTTAACACAACACAATAGCTGATCTATATTGCATTGTTTTTCTTACACATACTTTCTTGTTATTAGTTACGTATTCAGTCTTATTTCAGAATGAATTGTCGTTGTTAAGTGCAGCAGAGTCGTCTGGATTCATAGCAACCCCACGTCTTACGGAGTAGAACTGCCCCAGAGGGTTTTCTTGGCTGTAACCTTTAAGGAAGCAGATTGCCAGGTCTTTCTCCCAGGAGCTGCTGGGTGGATTCAAACCGGCAACCTTTTGGCTAACAGCCGAGCACTTAACCGTTTGCGTCACCAGGGCTTCTTGTTTCAGAATGTAACATATGCTATGTATTTATTTTATTAATTAATAATGGGATAGGAAACAAGTAATAAAAAATCCAGTTTGCTATAAATCGAAAAGAATAGCTTTTATAATTGTTGCTCTACCCTGGGATGGTGTGCAGGAAATTAGGCCCAGCCAATGTAACCTGCATGTGAATTTAAGGTAAACTAATAAAAGTTATAACCTCTACAAAACCAGAAGACCACCTCTATACAAGTACTGGAAAGTATTTTATATATAAAAAAAAGTAACTGATCATTAAAAAAAGTATTAATACTTATCACCTCTCTGTGTAGTTACACCTATTGTTCTAGAATGCTGTTTTTCAAACTTTAATGTGCGAATGAATCACCTGGGGATCCCGTTAAGATGCAGATGATGGCTAAGTAGATCTAAGGTTGGGTCTAAGATTCAGGGAAGCTGATAGTACTGATACCAAACCACACATTGAATAGCAAGGCTCCAGATAAAACGATGAATAAGGAAGACTGAAGAAGACTTGACGCCTTCGAATTGTCATGTTGGCAAAGAATATTGAATATACCATGAACTGCCAAAAGAACAACAAATCTGTCCTGCAAGAAGTAAAACCAGAATGCTCCTTAGAGGCAAAGACGGCGAGACTTCGTCTTACATACTTTGGACACGTTATCAGGAGGGATCAGTTCCTGGAGAAGGACATCATGCTTAGTAAAGTAGAGGGTCAACGAAAAAGAGGGAGACCCTCAAGGAGATGGATTGACACAGTGGCGGCAACAATGGCCTCAAGCATAGCAACGATTGTGAGGATGGCGCAGGACTGGGCAGTGTTTCGTTCTGTTGTACGTAGGGTCGCTATGAGTTGGAACTGACCCGATGGCACCTAACAACAACAGATAAAAGGATAGCCAACTCTTCTACTTCCTTAAAAACCACTTGTCCTCCAGTAGATTCTAATGCATGGCGACCCCAGAGTAGAACCGTGTTCCATGGGGTTTTCAATTGCTGATTTTTCTGAAGTAGATCTCCAGGACTTTCTTCTGAGGAACCTCTGGGTGGACTCAAATCTTCAACCTTTCAGTTAGCAGCTGAGCATGTTAACCGTATACCACCCAGTGACTCCTCTACTTCCCAAGATTTGTTTGTTTTTAATTATTAGATTGAACCACATGTAATTACCATTGTGTAAGTCAAATATGGTCAAATATCGGCAATTTCATATGGCTCTACCTAATGAACAACTTATTATCTATACTCAGTATTTTACTTTGTTCTATAGACCCAATCAGGCCACCGAATATCTAAACTTATGTCTAGTTTCCAGAAGTATGTGGCATGTTAGTTACTCAAAAATATTGTTAGGGATATTAATAGACAAGTAAGAAACATAAGGATGAATGTGAGCTTGTTGATAATTTCCTAACAGGTTTGTGATTTTACATCTGCAATATGTTGCTCATAACAGATTTACCTCTGGTCATTTAAATTACAGAAGGGACAGAAATGCCGTCCCAAAAGACCTCAAACACGTACTACACATATAACTCCATGCTATCATGGGCTTAATGACATGAGGGTGAAAAGAATTGTTTCCCCAAGTCTGATTACCTTCATCTATATCACTGTCTGTTTCTGTAACTGAATGGTTTGGTTTGGTTATCTTGGTATGCCAACTCCTAAATGGTCATGTGCTATATCTACTCTGTTCTTTATTTACATCCCATAAAACAGAGGGCAGGTCATAAATACAAGACAATAAAACTAATCACAACAATCACTGTCTATTCAGGTGGCTTGTGTGGGAAGTGGAAACTGTGGGTTCCAAACATTTAAACAACAGGATCCAGGCACAGGTGTACTGGAAATGGGCACAGATTACTGGAAAATCTTGCCAGTTTTTTACAGTATTCATATGAGTAAGATTTGTGAGTCTTTGGAAACTTGACTTGGGAAGAGGCAAAGGACAAGTAAGTAGTAAGAAACATTTTCTCTCACTGAGGTAGTAAGGGCACTAGCATTCCTAGATGCTTCCTGGGGCATTAGACAAGCCAAAACATACCCCAAGAAAACATAATAAGTATTGACTTAGTTATCTAGTGCTACTATGACAGAAATACCACAAGTGGATGGCTTTAACAAACAGAAAGTTATTCTCACACAGTTAAGAAGGATAAAAGTTTCGAATTCAGGATTCCAGCTCCAGAGGAAGGCTTTCTCTCTCTGTGTCAGCTCTGAGGGAAGTTCCTTGTCATCAATCTTCTCCTGATCTAGGAGCTTCTCAGCATAGGGATCCCAGGTCCGAAGGACACGCTCCCCTCCCAGCCCTTCTTTCTTGGTGGTATAAGGTCCCTCTCCACTCTGTTCATTCTCTCTTTTGTATTTCAAAAGAGATTGACTCAAGATACAACCTAATCCTTGAATCCTGCCTTATTAACATAACTGCCTCTAATCCTGCCTTGTTAACATCATAGAGGTTAGGATTTACAACACATAAGATAGTCACATCAGATCACAAAATGATGGACAACTACACAATACTGGGAATCATGGTCTAGTCAAGTTGACATACATTTTTGGGAGACACAACTGAATGCATAACAAGTATTATTCATTCATTTTTGACATTCAATATTCAATAAACATTTATTACACACCGAGTATATGCCAGGATTCTTCTAAGTTCTGGACGTAAAAAAGTGAATATTACCCAATCCTAAGCATCCATGAGTAGGTATAATGATGCTCATAATGTAATGGAACTCAATATATTCATAATATAACTGTAGAATTATAAGAGTATTTCTACTATTCTTTTTTTATTAAAGGCACTCTCCATAGAAATCTCCATTATCAAAATGCAGATACCCAGAATTTAAAGACTTGGGCAAATTCTACCAAAAAGAAATTTTGCTTTAATTAGTTTTCATAAATTACCCAGAAATGATCCACCTTGATTTGGAAATTAAGATTAGATTTGTGTGTGATTGTGGTGGAAGACAATCACTGTACAGTATCGCCGTATCTCTTGACAGGAAAGCAATTTCTCCAAATTGCCAATTACATTAGAATCAAGTGATTAGCTTCTTCGGTTATAGGATTTTGAACATCAAAGCATAATCTAATCACAGAGGAAGATATTAAACCAAGAGGTCATAACTGAGTCAACTAATTAAAACCTGCACAGTAGATGCAAACTTTATAAGGGTTGTTACACCAGGGAAGAACAGTTCTGAAGTACCCTGGAGATCTTTCTAATAACACAGCAACTCGTGGTTCATCTAGCAGTGAGATAGATACCTGATTACTGTAGAATGAGCTTCTTTATAATTAACCTTCTTAGCATATCCTATCCTCTTTAATCATATGCAATATGTCCCAAGAAGAGATTTAGAATAACATACGTAGGAAATTATTCAATAATTTATTGCTATGAGCATTTTTCCAATTTACTATTATAGAATAGAGCCAACTTCTCCATGATCTCTGATTGTGTAATTAAATTATTGGGCTCCAATAAATCAATGAGTTGGAATTATTTTAAGTCAAGGTGATAGCCCTATGGCTTCAAACAACACAGGATATTGTATTCTTCTACTAGCTTTCTTGTGTTCCTCCGCTGTTTCCCCTCTTTAAGATCCGATTATTGCTTATTAATGAGTATGAAAACTAGCATGCTGTCCTCAGCAGGAAACATTGCTACATCAAGGATAGAAGCCAGAATCCTCCTGTGGCCTGTGAGAATTCAGTGAGAGGTAAGGCAGCGAAAGAGTTCTTTGTGCCAGCTATGCAAATAAATTATAGTAACGAACGAATAAGCCCAAGGCAAATAAAAACAGAAAAGGTAAGTGAGGAGATATGTGGGATGAGCCACTTGATGCCAGGGCAGCTCATACTTACTGTATCTCGCATAATGAACAATGAGTCCAATGCACACTGCCAGGACAATCAAGGATATAAAGGTGATAAGGCCAATAACCCAGGGCTCCAAACAAGCTCTTTTCCTGGCCCTCACCACAGCTGGCCTGAGAAAGAAAACAAATAGATGGATTATATCACAATACACACCATGTCCACTCCTTAAGCAAAGCAGATATTTCTGGGGAACAAAGGACATTCAGTTAGACGGTAGTGTAGTGTCTTGGTGTAGAACACAACCCTGGTCGCAGGCTTCCTAAATCCATTCCTAGCTCTGTTGTCTGACCTTAAGCAAGTAATTTAGCATTTCTGGGTCTCAGTTTCCTCATCCATAAAATGAAGATGACAATAATAGTATCTATCTTGTAGTATTGTTGTGAGGATTAAATGAAATACTATATGTAAAGTGCTTATAACAGAGCCTGGCATGTAGAAAGTGCTGTGTAAAGGTCAGCTATTACTTATTGAGCTGTTATGTACAAGATTCACCACCTGTTTGTCAGTTTGTTGTACTGTGATGGCTGCGTGTTGCTGTGATGCCGGAAGCTATGCCACCGGTATTTCAAATACCAGCAGGGTTGTGCACGGTGGAGAGGTTTCAGTGGAGCTTCCAGACTAAGACAGACTAGGAAGAAGGGCCTGGTGATCTACTTCTAAAATTTAGCCAATGAAAACCTTATGTATCACAACAGAACATTGTCCTACTCACTTGCTTTGGACACATCATCGGGAGGGATTAATCACTAGAGGAGGCCATCACGTTTGGTGAAGCAGAGGCCAGCAAAGGCCAGCGGGACCCTCAGTGAGATGGATTAGCACAATTGCTGCAGTGATGGGCTCAAACTTACGGGTGATTGTGAGGATGGTGTAGGGCCAGGCAATGTTTCATTCTATTGTACATAAGATCACTGTGAGTCTTAGTAGACTTGATGGCAGCTAACAACAGCATGTACAAAATAATGAGTTAGGCAATGTAGGAACTACAAAGCCATTTAGAGCACTGTTTCTAGCACTCTAGAATCTTAATTGGTCTGTGAAATGTGCTGCAGCTGGAATCACACCAGGTTCCAGATAGAGTTTCTAATTCTATTCTAATTATTTCCAAACCAAACTTTGAGGATATACATAAGAGATAACCTGACACTCCCTTCTAAAGAAGCTCCCTCACAGCTAATATTTACCTCTGAACTTTAGGGATACTACAGGAAATCCTTTGTGCATGAAATTTCCTCAACCTCTCTCAACTATTCTGGCTCCAAAAACATGTTACTGAAAGACATCAATCAACCTGGTCGTTGTTTGATTAATAAAATTGCTGTTCCCTTGGGGTATAGTAGTTGCTAAGCAAACTCAAAAGATACAGAAAATGAAATGTAAGTCAGAGTTGGCTAAGGAGTTTGAATATGATACTGTTATTTTAAATTTCTTGGGGGTATTTATCATACTGGTAAAATTGGTGGCACGCACATCCTATTTCAGGAGTTCTGTGTGTCTGGAAGACGAAGACTGGAGGGAGTGCGATGTCGTCCTGGAAGGAGCTTTGGGTGCTCAATCACCATCAATAGAATTCTAATTCCAGCTCTTTCCTCACCTGCTCTGCAACTTGGACAAATTCTTTAAACTTTGAACCAAGTTTCTCTATCTGTCAATTAGGGACAGGAGAGCCATCCTGTCTAAAGCCCATGGTTGATTGTGAGACCCAGAATGAGATCATGAATTGGAAAACTTTTTGCAAACTGCAAAGCATTTTACAGTAAATAATTTTTGCTTATATAAATCAAGGAAAAACTGTGTTTCCTGTTGATGTAGGACCAGGAAGTGATGATACTATCATATTGGTCTCTTCCATACCATCACCCCATCCTGGCTCTGCCTGGACACAGAACAGGGAGCACTGTTACCAAAATCAGCGGTGTCATCATTACTGTATGACTGTGCCTGCTGAAGGCACTGGGAGGTAGTGGAAGTTCCCTGAACTCTACTTGGTCTTCTCCTTTGTTCCTCTGATTTTCCCATGGGGCCATAGCCAGGGAAACAGCATCTTCCTCTCCCCAACCTCTCTCATATACAGTTCTCCTTTGAGTGGGACTCCAAACAACTCTTCCTAGAATGGCAATTACTGCAATATAAAAAGTCTTCTCCGTGAGGAGGCAACCTTTTATGTGCAAACGTGGCCAAGAAGTCCTAAAACTGAGTCCTGTTTCTTTCTTCCTGAATGCTTGTTATTCACCTGTTTCAGAAGAAAGGAGATGCATATAGGAGACATAAGCAAAACTTTGCGGGGGTGGGGGGGAGGAATGCAGGGAGGAGAGGGCTTCTCAACTAATTTCAAAACACGCTCGATACAGAAAATGAATTTATAATTGTAGAAAATGTGACAAAATTTTCAAAGGTAAAAGATCACTACGTAAAACTGTGAAATATAAGACAGAAGTTCTATTTGTTCTATAATAATTTTTTAAAAAATCAAGACAGTAAAGTAAAGCAATATAGCTGTTAAAAGTGAGGTAGATATACACGCATTAACATGAAAAATGTCAATTATGTATTTTAGTGACAAAATGTTGCTGAATAATATGCATTCTATGTTCCAGCTTTGGTAAACAATAAAACTGTGTGTGTTTGTGTGTGTGTGTGTGTGTGTGTGTGAGTGCATAGAAAAATATAAAGAAGGGGATATGCTAAATTATTAAAAGTAGAGAATGAAAGAGCAGGAATAAAAAAGAAATTTTAATTTACATATTTTTGTTTTATGGTGGCTTTTTTTTTTTTTAAGAACAAGTAGACATGGCTTTTGAATTAAATGAAAGAGAGAGAGAGATTTAAATTAGAAGTAAAAATAACCATGAAAGATTTCATGGCAATCCCATCACAATTGTGTATAAGGGTACCTTCTCTGACCCTCACCTCCTACACCTTACTTTAGTGACATTCAGTCTTTGGTGGTTTAGAAGGAGATGAGAGATTGCATAGATCAAGGAAAAAAAGAGAATCCAGTCAAAAACACTTTGAATAAACAATTAAGAGAGCATGCTTCTGAGTTCTGCCACTAAGTTATTTATTGTATAGTCTTGGACCAGCAGATTCAATCATCTCTCTTATTTTCTCCTTGTGAAAAACAGGAATAATAATTCCAAATCCCTCCTAAGCTATCTAGCTATGTAGAAGTAAAAATGATGAAATATTTTAGTACTTGGAGCTCCCAACTGGAAAAATCATTGTATAAATAGCTGGGACTAGCCCTGAAAAGAGCTGGGTCGCTCACCAAAAGGTCAGCAGTTCAAATTCACCGGCCACTCCTTGGAAACCCTATGGGGCAGTTTTACTCTGTCCTATAGGGTCTCTATGAGTCGAGATTGACTCGATGGCAGTTGGTTTGGTTTTTATTATTATTTCATTATTTTAATTATTAATAACAACGATAATGACCACATTACTGAGACGTTTGTCATTTGAAACATTATATTTTTCCTTCCTCTCCTAGTCTGTAAGGCATTGCTTTTCAAACCGGTTTACCTTGTTTCTCAGTTATTTTTCTTTGTTGCTCTCTGAGCAAGAGATTTTAGTACAGGATTGTTCCAAATTAAATGTGCTAGGAAGTAAGCTCAAAATGTTTATTTAAATAGAGGAATAAAAACATCGTACATATCAACAGACACTTATGTAATTTACCCCCTCCTACACACATAGTCCCTTGTCCAATCATAACTGCTACCTGTTGAAACTTATCTGAACTTTATCTCAAACTTATCCTCATTTAAAATTACTTGCAGACAGAGTGGTTGAATTCTAATAGCTTCAGTGGTGTCAAATAGCTTTCTTTTTAAGATTCTTCCCAATTTGGGGATGTGTGGTTAGACAGCGACAAGTCAGGTAAATATAGCAGTTAAAGTATGGGTCTATTTTTATTAGTCCAAAATTGCCAAATGACAAGTAATGTGTCCAAGGCTGCATTATCATGATAGAGAAGCCATTTGTTTTATCACTTTTTAATGTGTCATTTGAAAAATAATGCTAAAAAAGAAAAATAGCAACAGCCACAAAAAGACAAGCGAGGGGGGAAAATGATGCTAACACAAATGAACTTCCTGGCAAGCACTGGAGAATAAGTCAAGACTTATCATTAAGTTTACCAGAACAAACACCCTTACACAACAATACCATGATATGTTGATGAATACTGGTTGCTGTCGAGTCAACTCCAACTCATGGCCACCCTATGTATATCAGAATAGAATGTGTTTGACATTTTTGTGTTGGCATTTTTGGAAGTAGATAACCAGGCCTTTCTTCCAAGGTGCCTTTGGGTAGACAGAAACCTCCAACCTTTCAGTTAGCAGCCGAGCGTGTTAATTGTTTGCACTACCCAGGGACTCCAATCAAAAACCAAAAAAAAAAAAACCCATTGCAGTAGAGTCGATTCCAATTCATATTCTTTGCTCATCTTTCATAATGATAAGCAGCCTTGATATTCTCTCAGTTCATATGTTTCACCAGCCTAGTCCAGCTGAGCTGTTTTGAATGAGCATTTGCATAATATCCATGAAGTTGGTGCACCCAAAGCATTGTTATCAACTACTTAAGCTGGAATCGGCAAATTTTTCTGTGAAGGACAAGATAGCAAGTGTTTTAGACATTGTGGACCACACAGTGTCTGTCGCAACTATTCGACTCTGTCGTTGTAGCAAAAAGGCAGCCAGAGACAATACATAAACAAATGAACATGGATGTGTTCCTATAAAACTTTATTTATGTACACTGAAATTCTAATTTTATATAATTTTCACTTGTACATAGAATATTTTTCTTCTGCTGATTCGTTTTTCAACTATTTAAAAATATGAAAATCATTCTTAGTTCAAAACCTGTTGCTGTCAAGTCAATTCCTACTTGTAGTGACTCTATAGGACAGACCAGAACCGCCCCTTCCAAGGAGTGGCTGGTGGATTTGAACTGCAGACCTTTCGATTAGCAGCCAAGCTCCTAACCACTGCACCACCAGGGCTCCAATTCAAGAACCTTATAAAAACAGATTGTGAGCCAAGTTTGGCCTGCCTGCCATAGTTTATGGACCCTCAACTTAAGTAATAGCTTAAAAGTCAGTGCT